CGCGCCCCTCCCCTGGTCGTTATAACTCTATATACACGCGCCCCTCCCGTGGTCGTTATAACTCTATATACCTGCGCCCCTCCCCTGGTCGTTATGACCCTATATACCTGCGCCCCTCCCCTGGTAGTTATAATTCTATATACCTGCGCCCCTCCCGTGGTCGTTATGACTCTATATACCTGCGTCCCTCCCGTGGTCGTTATAACTCTATATACCTGCGCCCCTCCCCTGGTCGTTATGACTCTATATACCTGCGCCCCTCCCGTGGTCGTTATGACCCTATATACCTGCGCCCCTCCCCTGGTCGTTATGACTCTATATACCTGCGCCCCTCCCGTGGTCGTTATAACTCTATATACACGCGCCCCTCCCGTGGTCGTTATAACTCTATATACCGTTAGAGCATATCGTATCGCATATACAAAAAACCCATATTTATTAGTAAGTATGTAATAAAACTCTATATACACGCGCCCCTCCCCTGGTCGTTATAACTCTATATACACGCGCCCCTCCCGTGGTCGTTATAACTCTGTGTGATACGGCGAGGACTGATATGGGTTAGAGCATATCGTATCGCATATACAAAAAACCCATATTTATTAGTAAGTATGTAATAAAACTCTATATACACGCGCCCCTCCCCTGGTCGTTATGACTCTATATACCTGCCCCCCTCCCGTGGTTGTTATGACTCTATATACCTGCGCCCCTCCCCTGGTCGTTATGACTCTATATACCTGCCCCCCTCCCGTGGTTGTTATGACTCTATATACCTGCGCCCCTCCCCTGGTCGTTATAACTCTATATACACGCGCCCCTCCCCTGGGCGTTATAATTCTATATACCTGCGTCCCTCCCGTGGTCGTTATGACTCTATATACCTGCGCCCCTCCCCTGGTAGTTATAATTCTATGTACCTGCGCCCCTCCCCTGGTAGTTATAATTCTATATACCTGCGCCCCTCCCGTGGTCGTTATGACTCTATATACCTGCGCCCCTCCCCTGGTCGTCATAACTCTATATACCTGCGCCCCTCCCGTGGTCGTTATGACTCTATATACCTGCGCCCCTCCCCTGGTCGTTATGACTCTATATACCTGCCCCCCTCCCGTGGTTGTTATGACTCTATATACCTGCGCCCCTCCCCTGGTCGTCATAACTCTATATACCTGCGCCCCTCCCGTGGTCGTTATGACTCTATATACCTGCGCCCCTCCCCTGGTCGTTATAACTCTATATACCTGCGTCCCTCCCGTGGTCGTTATAACTCTATATACCGTTAGAGCATATCGTATCGCATATACAAAAAACCCATATTTATTAGTAAGTATGTAATAAAACTCTATATACACGCGCCCCTCCCCTGGTCGTTATAACTCTATATACACGCGCCCCTCCCCTGGTCGTTATAAGGGCCGAAGGCTCGAGGGCTGATATTGGTCGAGGGTTGATACTTGGTGTGATATGGGAAAAGGCGTGTTTCATTCTGTTTATTACATACTTACCAATAAAAACTACTATCTTATGATCTATTTTTCTCTTTGAAATATTGAAAAAAGAAACAAAATTCAAAAGGGGTGTGATATGGGTTTTGCTGGCTGATACGGGTTTTGGGGTGTGATACGGCGAGGACTGATATGGGTTAGAGCATATCGTATCGCATATACAAAAAACCCATATTTATTAGTAAGTATGTAATAAAACTCTATATACACGCGCCCCTCCCCTGGTCGTTATGACTCTATATACCTGCGCCCCTCCCGTGGTCGTTATGACTCTATATACCTGCGCCCCTCCCCTGGTCGTTATAACTCTATATACCTGCGCCCCTCCCCTGGTCGTTATGACTCTATATACCTGCGTCCCTCCCGTGGTCGTTATGACTCTATATACCTGCGCCCCTCCCCTGGTCGTTATGACTCTATATACCTGCGCCCCTCCCCTGGTCGTTATGACTCTATATACCTGCGCCCCTCCCCTGGTCGTTATAACTCTATATACCTGCGCCCCTCCCCTGGTCGTTATGACTCTATATACCTGCGCCCCTCCCCTGGTCGTTATAACTCTATATACCTGCGCCCCTCCCCTGGTCGTTATGACTCTATATACCTGCGCCCCTCCCCTGGTCGTTATAACTCTATATACCTGCGCCCCTCCCCTGGTCGTTATGACTCTATATACCTGCGCCCCTCCCCTGGTCGTTATAACTCTATATACCTGCGCCCCTCCCCTGGTCGTTATAACTCTATATACCTGCGCCCCTCCCCTGGTCGTTATAACTCTATATACCTGCGCCCCTCCCCTGGTCGTTATAACTCTATATACCTGCGCCCCTCCCCTGGTCGTTATAACTCTATATACCTGCGCCCCTCCCCTGGTCGTTATAACTCTATATACCTGCGCCCCTCCCCTGGTCGTTATAACTCTATATACCTGCGCCCCTCCCCTGGTCGTTATAACTCTATATACCTGCGCCCCTCCCCTGGTCGTTATAACTCTATATACCTGCGCCCCTCCCCTGGTCGTTATAACTCTATATACCTGCGCCCCTCCCCTGGTCGTTATAACTCTATATACCTGCGCCCCTCCCCTGGTCGTTATAACTCTATATACCTGCGCCCCTCCCCTGGTCGTTATAACTCTATATACCTGCGCCCCTCCCCTGGTCGTTATAACTCTATATACCTGCGCCCCTCCCCTGGTCGTTATAACTCTATATACCTGCGCCCCTCCCCTGGTCGTTATAACTCTATATACCTGCGCCCCTCCCCTGGTCGTTATAACTCTATATACCTGCGCCCCTCCCCTGGTCGTTATAACTCTATATACCTGCGCCCCTCCCCTGGTCGTTATAACTCTATATACCTGCGCCCCTCCCCTGGTCGTTATAACTCTATATACCTGCGCCCCTCCCCTGGTCGTTATAACTCTATATACCTGCGCCCCTCCCCTGGTCGTTATAACTCTATATACCTGCGCCCCTCCCCTGGTCGTTATAACTCTATATACCTGCGCCCCTCCCCTGGTCGTTATAACTCTATATACCTGCGCCCCTCCCCTGGTCGTTATAACTCTATATACCTGCGCCCCTCCCCTGGTCGTTATAACTCTATATACCTGCGCCCCTCCCCTGGTCGTTATAACTCTATATACCTGCGCCCCTCCCCTGGTCGTTATAACTCTATATACCTGCGCCCCTCCCCTGGTCGTTATAACTCTATATACCTGCGCCCCTCCCCTGGTCGTTATAACTCTATATACCTGCGCCCCTCCCCTGGTCGTTATAACTCTATATACCTGCGCCCCTCCCCTGGTCGTTATAACTCTATATACCTGCGCCCCTCCCCTGGTCGTTATAACTCTATATACCTGCGCCCCTCCCCTGGTCGTTATAACTCTATATACCTGCGCCCCTCCCCTGGTCGTTATAACTCTATATACCTGCGCCCCTCCCCTGGTCGTTATAACTCTATATACCTGCGCCCCTCCCCTGGTCGTTATAACTCTATATACCTGCGCCCCTCCCCTGGTCGTTATAACTCTATATACCTGCGCCCCTCCCCTGGTCGTTATAACTCTATATACCTGCGCCCCTCCCCTGGTCGTTATAACTCTATATACCTGCGCCCCTCCCCTGGTCGTTATAACTCTATATACCTGCGCCCCTCCCCTGGTCGTTATAACTCTATATACCTGCGCCCCTCCCCTGGTCGTTATAACTCTATATACCTGCGCCCCTCCCCTGGTCGTTATAACTCTATATACCTGCGCCCCTCCCCTGGTCGTTATAACTCTATATACACGCGCCCCTCCCCTGGTCGTTATAACTCTATATACCTGCGCCCCTCCCGTGGTCGTTATAACTCTATATACACGCGCCCCTCCCCTGGTCGTTATGACTCTATATACCTGCGCCCCTCCCCTGGTCGTTATAACTCGATATACCTGAAAAATAGTAATACAAGATTGTCAGGGTGACCAATTCGTTATATCTGGGTAAGCCTTCGGCTCGGGGTCTATAAAGACCAGACGGGGTCGATAAGCCCGTATACACCTTCTAACCCAGAGATAACTTATAATATACCTGCGCCCCTCCCTTGGTCGTTATAACTATATATGCCTACGCCCCTCCCGTGGTCGTTATAACTCTATATACCTACGCCCCTTCCGTGGTCGTTATAACTCTATATATCTGCGGCCCCTCCCTTGGTCGATATAATTATATATGCCTACGTCCTCCCCTGGTCGTTAACTGAAAAAAACATGCATAGGCCGCTGGTAGAAAAAACACACAGTGTCTGTTTTTAGAAAAGTGAAAAATTACGTCAACTCAAGCAAAAGTTTAAGATAAATGATATCAAATTACAATTTCCACTTTTTTTATTTGTACTGTTTAGTTTCTTTTTTAGTCTTTCTGATGGTACATGTAAGTGTTATATGTAAACTGATATTTGTTGTGATCAATAATCTGCTGTCTGCTATTGTGACATGCATGTGAGTTTCTGTTGTCTGGAGACTGACCTCCATTGCGATCAATACTATGCCCTTTATCTATGTATGTAAGGTATATAAATATGTGTGTGTATTGTGGCAATAGTCTTTGTAATGTTTAAATACCCAATCCGTTTGCTTCGTGAATGTTTTAAATCTCGGTGTGTGTGTGTGTGTGCACCCCGCTCTCACTGACCCAGTGGTTTGTATGATATAGATAACATTGGCTAATAATAGTGTCTCGTTATCGCTTGCTCACCGATTTACTACACAACACTGGCTTGCGCGAACGTGACTACAACTACGCCAATGCGCATGCCCGGAACAGTAAATAACCTACAACAATTTTCATTCAAGTTTTCTGTATATAATCGGTGACATGAACTCGTACTGGTCACGGTCGAGTCGTCCCTAATGGCCCACGACTTTCATTGGCCAATCAAAACGATGCTAATATGAGACGAGCCAATCCAAGCTGTTGACAAGATGCAATATTTACAGTCAGGGTGACGAGGCAAAATAAATGCCAACACATGGGTATACGAGAGAAAGTAAGATTATCAGTGATACACCTGGTTGTTCTGTACAGGTGTAAATGATAAATATACCAAGTGTCTTAACGAGGCGTACTCACACATATATATACCTATATATGTGTGTAGCAGGTATAAATAAGTCAGGTAATAATACCAGGCGGTGTGGTGTACGGAGAACCATTACAAGGAGGAACTCCGCTACCGATAATATATATAAAGCACATCTGAAAAATTGTGATTGCATAGAAGATATATACTGAAGAATTGCGAGGTGCATGGATGCCGATGTTAAAATAATTCTTGGATAAAAAATAATAATTGTTTTCTTAATGTAAGGATTCTAACCTAACATTCACGTGTGATAGTGTAGTTTGTTCCCCCGAAAAATGCGGACGATTTCACGTGCATACCACGGGACGTTAACCTTCAGTGTTATCTGTGATATCGACTTATCTGTGATATCGACTTATCTGTGATATCCACCGACCAGACTACGTACAACACGGTCACTATCGCCGAAAACAATTGTCTTTAAAAAGTCTCGCAAAATTTGAAATAGAACGATGAAAGGTGCCAGGGCGTAGGTGATACGTCACATCTTATGACATCTTATAACGTCGTGACGTAACAGAGAAAAGATAGCCTCTCTCTGGAATATGTACTGTGAATCGTAAGATCAGTACTAGTCACCAAAACTAAGAAAACCACAAGACTTGTGCTTTTTATTCATTTTAATTTGTCAACAAAATTAAAACAGTGGAAGGAAAGACTGCAAGATATTGGAGTAAACTCTAGCCAAGATGTCAAAGGTCGTCTCTGTATGCAGTCGACAGTAGAGATGTGATAGTTTAACCTCTATCTTATCCCGACTCTTCACTCAGAACATCGAAACACTGCGTGAATATAATCTGGAAATTTCTATCAAAAAGTAGCTTTTTTCTACAGTCTCGTGATTTCTTACATCAACCAGCACGTGTTATAAATAATGTAGACGTAATTGACGTTGTAATCATTGATCACGTTACACGTTGAAGATGTCGGGTAAATCATCCCCTTCTAACCGAGTCTCTGACATTCACCTGGCGGAGAATGCCAGCCTGTCTCGGAAAAGCTCCACCGCCGAGGAGTTAGAATCCGAGCCCAGTAAAACAGGATTTCCAGAGGACAAAGAGCAGACGACGAACATCGGAGTGGCGGTTTTCAGACTGACAGTAGCCTCTGTGTGTGGTGTCATCTTTGGTATTGCCTTGGAAAAGACGCGAGGTAAGTAGCTGGTCACGTGTTTGATGTACGTCATATTTACCATAAGTTAAAAGGATGCTACGGACGTATATATCTGTCCGATATTTAAACGACATGTCCATCCGTTTTTTGTTTCACGTTACGGACCTTCATACATCTGTCTGATCTTTGTGACATTTCCTTTTCTGTAGTGATAACCTCCCCCTTTTGTAGAATTCCATTGACTCTAGTTATTAGTTTTATCTCTCCCGATCTAGAATAATGAATCTCTCCTGCATATAGTGCTTATTTCCCCGCTTTTGGGTGTAATAGGTTCTCTCCTCTTCTTTATAGTGGATATCTGCCTCTGCCTAGAGTAGCAATTTTACCCAGTTATCTGCCCCTTTTGTAGCAGTAGACCTCCCGTAAATATCTTCGCTATATATTGACATGTCTCGTACGATGATGATGATCTTCAGCGGAATTCCAGTTTCCGAAATGAGAAAAGAATCAGGATGACGTCACAATTAGATTCTGTAGGAGGATTTTTAGTCCCCGTAACTACGATGGTCACAGTAGTCTGTTTCATGTAGTTACACGATTCCTAAGATAAAACACTTTATATTATCGTGTTTAGTCTGCACTAAACCCAACAGCACACACAGGTTATACTCTGCTATGTTTTTTGTCGATAAAATAACAAACACTTCAATTGTCGAAAATGAGCATTTATTCTAAATGCCAGAAATCGAACATATGTATACATCTTTGTGTTGATTTTTATAATAAGGTGTACAAAGAACCATCACATTTATTAAATATTTGAACTTAGCAAGTACTCTTAATTAATAAATTCATTGGGTTTTATGCACCTCCCCGTCAACAGTAGTTTAGACTTATCTGGATTTCCACCTTTTGGCCCCTAACATCACCGATGAGTCCTAGGAGGACGAGACAGCTGTATGATGCTGTGTAAATCAGTGTTTGGTATGCTCAATCACATAAATGTGTGTGTTACGTTCATCTTACGACTGTGTAACACATCCTGTCAAAGGTCAACACGAATCTGTGTTTAACTCCGCGCTTTCAGCCTCTTTTCTCACGAATGTATTCATGTACTATTCAGATAAACACCGCTGAATAAATCTTTATATCTTAAAAAATATTATTTACTGAAAACTGGGTAAATCAAAAATCAATCCATCGACGGGACACACACAATAAAACTGTACAAATGGAGCTACATGTTCCTGTGTAGTCATTAAATTATTAAGTGCCAATAAATATAGCACTAAATTGTCCATAATTGATTTAGATGTTGTTTAAATGCCTGTATCTATCCAACAGCTAATGAAATCGAGATAAACTCAGGAAGAAAGAAAGAAACAGTTTTATGTATTCGTTTAAGTATTAAATATAAAGTAGAAGAGCTTCATATTTTTTCATTAGCTGTTCAGACTTTATTAAAATTTTCACGAATACTCAACGGTTCATGAAATTAAAGGAACCTATCTAGATGTATGTGTTCAAATATTAAATATAAATTAAAAGAGCTTCCTTTTATTCATTACCTGTGTAAATGTTATTAAAATACCTCTGTTAAGGGAAGGAATATAAACAAAATAGCGGAATGTATCGTTTACTGTAAATATATACACAATATAGAAAAATACAATTTATTTAACTACTAGTATCCTAATAGCTACACATAAATATAAATTGTTTACTTGTATAAACTATTTATATCTAACTTGAGTAATTACATCTACTCATAAACTGCCAGTAAAAAATCCACAAGTATATATTCATTACATATCTGTATTGACTTAAGATTTAAATTTATCGGTGTTTTTTTCATAAAGTGATTGACAGTGCCTATACTAATGGTAGGCATCTATGTGAGGATATCTTATTTAATATATTGATTCGTTTATTGATTGTTTATATTAAACTAGTTAAATGAAGTTTAAGTTGTGTATTTTTAGTCTCACAAACTATAAATAATTACAATAATAATAATAATAATAATAATAATAATATCCAGCATTTGATATAGCGCCGTATCTAGCTAGAATACGCGTCTCTAAAGCGCTTTACAGTTTATAAATATACAATTCATACAATCAATACAATTAGCATATATATTAATCCTTACAATTTTGAGGAATTTGCAGGAACTGCCTTATCGGAGGCTAATTACTAGTCCTATGCCACCTGGCATAATCTATTACCTATAAAATCCATGTACAAAATACAATTTGACGATGTGTTTAAAATATTACTGAATCCCCTCCATAAGTGTTACGAAAGACTTTACTTCCTTGCACAAAAATATAATTATTATCTAGCTAGACAGCTTCATTTATCAATTAATCATTGATAATGAGTAAAATATATAAACTGAACTATAAGTATCTACATGCATACATAAATACATAATGCGTATGTCCAGTACTTATATTAAAGTAAATTCGTTATATAATCAAACTTCCATAAATCGAACTTCGAATATTCGAATTTCTCGATGCGACAGACTTACAACAAAGTCCGTTTTTTTCCTTATATAACACTATACTAATATTCAATTTAAAAATCGATTTTTGATGAGTCGAATTTCTCACTGTTTAAAACAACAATAAGGTTCAATCGTTTGGCAAATATTGAAAATTATCACCAATAAATCAGTGTAAAACAGTTACCTGTACTAGAGCATGGTGTATAAACACTCGAAACATATTTTTCTAATTACGTTAAATCATTTCTTTGATGAATTTCAAATTAAATTTCTTCCCAAGTGTTCCCTGGTGTTCCCTGGTGTTCGATCACTTGACAATCACAATTTCAAAGATGATGAGAGTTCAGCATTGTAAGCTACAAGCATTTATAAAACAATCTTATTTTTGAATAAACTCATTAAATTTGAGTAAGATAACTATATTTACTATTTAAAGTTATGGTGAATTTGTTGCATAAATGAATAAATTCAATATATATATATAAAACTAATAAGATGTAATTTTAATATATATTTATTTAAAAACTCTTGATAAATAATAACATGTGTCATGTATAGATAATATATTTTACAAACTAATTTGTCTTAGGTTTGATAACAACATCTATTGTTTTCATGTTTAAAAGAGCTACACGTAAATATAAAATTTATATTTCTGAAAAAAAGTATTATTATGAAAGTTAATAATTAAATATAAAAATTATTGATTTTACAACTTTTATGAAAAGCAAGTTTTCCAACTTATGTCAATCACTCTAGTTGGCCTAGATGGTAGCACAAAGGGGATCTCACTGTGGAAAAAAACCTGGGTACCAAGAGAAAACAACACGTGGGTCGGCAGTGACCCAGTACCCTTTTCACGTCACATCAGGGAGTCGAACTCCGGCCAACTTGGTGAAAGGCGCGCCCGCTTACCAATATGCCAAAAGACCAACCACTACATTTGTTTTCTTAAGTCCTAATAGCTACACATAAATATAAATTGTTTACTTGTATAAACTATCTATATCTAACTTGAATAATTACTACTCATAAACTGCCAGTAAAAAATCCACAAGTAAATATTCAATACATATCTGTATCGACTGAGAAGATTTAAGTTTATCGATGTTTTTTTCATAAAGTGATTGACAGTGCCTGTAATAATGGTAGGCATCTATGTGAGGATATCTTACTTATTTTCAGAATACCAACTTTTTGCAAATAAAATGTTTTAAATATGGAGTTTGAAGTCACAGTTCATAATGAACCGTAATACAAAATATTTAGAGGCATTTCGCGAAATTTCACCAGCAATACATATTTATTTCATACTGTATTTAATTTAGTATTTTTTTTGTTTAAACTTTTATCAAACTATTATCAATGTTCAAATAACTTGTGACTTATACTTTAACACAAAGAAATACTACTTTAACAGTTACGCATTCTTTGGATTATTTGTCATGTTTTTGACAATGCAAAATCTTCACAACCTCAAAGGAAAATAGATTATCTTTCATTCCTACTAAAACAATATATTTCGTTCTTCTGGTCCAAGTTTTTTTCAAGGGGTGATCATCTTAATCACTGTTTAAACAACATCTTCCGATCTCTAATAACTAGGTCAATGTACAAGAAAAAAACCTTTAAACTTTACATTTAATTTACTGTACTAAAATATTTGCTATCTGGGGAGTTTGACACAGTCAATAGTTGTGTTTTAGAGATAAACAAACAATGAACATTTGCGCTAATCACAGACTATACTAATCGACTTCTGAACAACTGGGCCACGATCATCACTAATGCCAGTTATTTCAGTTTACTGTTTGTTTAGATTTTGTTTACTGAACTGTAAACACAGATTAATGTTTAAACAATTTGTAGTATTGTTATATGAACATACATTAGTTCATAACTATGTGTATTGTTTTTCGCTATATACTGAAGTTGTATTTCATCTGCTCTTTTGTCTTAATCTGTTACAACCATTCCCATACCATTAACAATTGAACAATAGCCAGTGTCATTCTATCGCCGCTCTATGATAGAAATACATAAAGAAACGGCGTAGTATAAATTGTCTATATTTATTAATTGTACTGCCCCAATATATCTATTTTTTCAATTCATTATTTTATTGTTACTATAAGTTGCATTGTTACTTGAAGGCAAATAGCAAAACAATAAACATAGAAAGAATCTTCAGACTTTGAAAAACATATAAACTTACAAACGAACCATGCCTACTCTCCTCAGTTCTAGTGACTGTTTTATGAATAAGCAAGAGTCAAGCATAAGTTGAATATTGTCAGTAGATAAAATAAACTGACAATAAAAAAAAATGTTTAAGAAAAAAAAAAAAAAAAACTAACATAAATACATCTTACAAACAACTTATAATAGTGTGTCAATTAGGGAATAATATATACTGATTGAACAAAGTGATCAAACGTTTTTGTGATCTTTTGTTTTCGTTCTTTTTCCATATTGCATGAAGAGCGCCTTGATGGGCTGAAGGCGTTAGACAGTGTTTGGTTTAATA